TGACGTTCAGGTTCAGCTTCTGTTGTTGCTTTTTTTGTTTGTATTATTATTTATTTTTTGCCTGGCTTGTAAAATGTATTTACCACGCAGCCCGAAGCCCAGTCAATTGGCTTTTGGGTACTTTCAAAATGTTGCAAAATGTTTAACAGGCAATTAATTTTATGGTAAATCACAACAAGAACAGCAGCAGCAGCAGCAGCAGCAACCACTGCAACAGCTGCCAACGGCAACAACAACAATGAAAGCGACAACAGCAGCAACGCATTAAATCGTTTATAAATCACTTTCGACCACTTGCACATACATTCACACACGCACGCACGCACACGCACGCACACATACACACTGTTATGAGAATAAGTGAGTATTTCATGCTTTTTGGCAGCGCAATAAAATACCATTTATTGTGCATGCGGTAGAGCTAAAGGCAAAATAAGTTTCAATTCAGCAAACAATTAATCCGCGATTTATTTCAAGCAAAAAAATAAATTTAAAAAAATTATATATATATAAGTATGCTATAAGTCTTGGAGCTTATCAGCGAACCAACACGCAGCCCAATTTTCATTTAAACAAATTTAAATTTTACTTTGCCAGCTGCACATTTCGTCTGTCTTTCAACTTTTCCCTTTTAATAAATGCTTTTTTTTTCATATATTTTCTTAGCCATAAACTGTTCGGCCAAGCGGTAAACAAAAATTAACAGAACCCGATCCGTAATTAACTTTCGCTTTAGTTTCGGTTCGAAGGAAGCAAAGATCCTGTTTCAATCCAGGCTGCGGCATTGTTATTTAGCTTTTTCTGAAAACCGCTGCTTAAAACACATCAATTGCCCTAAAAACATGCGAACCGAAACTCTCTCTATAGAAAACTTTTGAAGGCATATCGAACCCCAACGTTCAAGCAACTTTGGCACGAACCCTTGCATCTAACCATATTTGGTAGATGCCAATTTTTGGGTCGAAATCTAATTAAGCCCGAATCTTGTCTATGAAAATATCTACGACTTGCAACACTTTCAGCAAAAAGGGCTGCAGTAGCAAAGAAAAGTTGGCTTGCATCACTAAAATTTTGAAAATACGTGAGAAATAGAGGCTCAAGCTAAAGCCTGAGTTCATGGAACTGCAACTCCAGCTGCCCAAATCCTGCCAGTCAGAAACTCGTTTGCAATTCAATTGAAAAGAGATGAAAACTAAGGAACTAGCTTTAAAAAAAAAAAAAAGCTCAAAATGCTGCCGTATACCTGAACTATGTGAAAGCGATTAATTTGCAAAGAACTCAAAACTAAATTGACTTTTGTTGCAATTTATTTTATTTTCGTTCACTTTGCTTCATTTGCATGTAAATATTATTTATTTTCTTCTGGGAGCCTTTGCAATTAGTTAAAATCAATTTCTACGTTAATGAAGATAATTATGAAAAAAATTCCTGCACTCATTAATGATGAACAAAAAAATCGTTTGAAATTTCGCGTGAATTGCTTTAATTGAATAAATCAAATATTGCACGGTATTTCAGTATCAAGACTATGCCAAGCATTTACTGTCAAACAAAAATCAGAGCAAAAGAAACATTTTTACCTTAATTAGGCATATGAAATATATAGTTGACGGTATTTCAGCATAAAAACTGTACAAAGTATTTACCAAGAAATCAGATATGATAGTAAAAGTAAAATTGGTGCGTTGATTAAGTATCGAATATTGAATAAAAAACTCGAAATACGAAAAATGGTGAAGGTATTTATTTTCACAAAAATTGTTGCTCTCATTAAGGATACAATTTCAATAATTATGCCAAATGCAGAAGCATGGAGGAGCATGACAAGCCCGGATGGATTCCAGATGAGCTGTCTCTATGAGAAAGTTCTTTGGCAGCGGCACAACAAGCATACAAACTTGAAGCCGAGCCTAATTAGACAAAAATCCCAGCCACAGAACTTGGCAGCCAAAGCTAGTTCAGAAAAAGTTGGGTACACATTTTGTAACTTTGTGAATGCTCAACTAGGAAGAATTATATAGTTTATTATAAAATGTAGAACGATATGCAGAATATGTTCAGCTTTAACAAAAGACTTGAAGAAGTTGCAAGCCGCATGGTTGAGCTCCTTTCTAAGGCTGTCCTTAAGAGAGCTGCCCAACTTTGCAGTTAATCATTTGTTTAATTTAAGCTTTTTCCTATTGAAATATATTCATACACTGCGTATAGATGCAGATCTATATACAGAGGTTCACAGGATCAAAAGATCAAGAGATTAACAAATCGAAAGAGTTGAATTGCTCCTAAATTTCTCTGTAAATTTCTTTGAATAGCTAACTAAGTATACAAAATTCTGAGCGTTAAACTGTGGACAATATATAGGATCGAAACGAACATCAGGTGAAAGCTTAAAGTTTAAATATTTGGCAAAAATAACTAGGTAAAAAACACTTTAAAAAACAGCTTCAATAATAATGTTATTCAATATCAAAGTGAGCAAATACACATGATTTTTATATTTTGATTACGTTTACAATTCACAGCTTCAAAAAAAAAACTTCTATAAAAAAAGTATATGCTGAATCCCATATAAATCAAATCTTTGAATTTTTTAGGTTTTTTTTTCATTCTTCTTTTGCTTTTCATTTTGCATTTATCAGTTTGATTTATTTGCTTTTATCACTTGGCATATTATTTATGCGTTCGCTTAATTTATGGCTTTGCCAGCATTAAAAAAAATAAAAAAAACATGTCTTTAACACATTTAAAAAAAAAGAATGCAATTTGAAAATGTTGCGCTCACCGTTAGATTCAATTCACTGCGAGATTAACCGTTAAACTCAAATTGCACACTGGAAAAGTCGACTTGGAAAATGTTGTGTTGCTTTTGTGCGGGAAAAAAAAATGTTGTAATTCTTTTGAAATAATTCAATTATTAATTATGTTAATTAACTTTACGTTAAGATTTGAATTTATTTGTTTTTTTTTTTTTTTTTGTTTTGTGATTTGATTAAGTGTGTGTGGCTGTGTGTGTGTGTGTATGTGTGTGTTTGATTCTTGGATTCTGCTCCTAACGAAAAATTTCAACTGGTTGTCGCGAGGCTGCTCGAAGCGGAGTGAAGTGTTGAATATGCTGCACGGCAGCGCCAACTCTGGTTTCTGTGGCCAGCAGCGACGACGATGAGCACGAGAATGACGCGACCAACGATGGCCACGACGAGACGAGCCAACGAGTCGGCCGACGTTGGCGAGGACGATGCCAAACGACGGGTCCGACGAGGATGTGGACGAGGGCGAAGTTGAGGATGAGGATGAGGGCAAGGACGAGGACGAGGACGAAGTGCGAGTACGAGGACGCAGACGAGGCCGAGCACGGCGACGGCGACAATGAGGGGCACGAGAAGGCGGCGGCTCGGCCATGGCGTCTCGAACTCAAATCGCTTCAATTTCAGTTTGATGACACGGGCACTGCACGGCCTGTGATGGCGGCCGGCGGCTGCGGAGGCGGCGCGCAATTGCTGCAGCCTCATCAGCATGCTAGTGTTGGTGTTAAGGACATGGTCGTATCCTATGCGTGTGTATCTGCCAGCAGAGACGCAACAGTGCCGACAACGTCGAGCCCTAAGCGGCGGCGGCGGCGGCGCCAGCAACAACAAGTGGAACTACATTTGGCCATTCGGCTTTGGCTTTGTGCATTCGGCAAAGCGCACACGCACACACGCACACACGCCCACGCACACACGCCCACACACACACGGACATTCGTATTTTGTGTATTCGCTCTATGCGAATCGTTTTCGGTTTCAGTTTTGCTTTACCTTCATTTTTTTTTCAGCAACAAAAACTAAACAACAAAAAAAGAAGAAAGCACAATTTGGCAAAACAGCCAAAAAGCTTCCGCTGGGTGGCGCCACCAGCTTAAGCACGCCTCAGCCAAAGCAGTCAAAAAACTTAAAAACCAACAAAATACAACTAATAGTACTCTGGCCGAGAGTGCCCGACTATAAGATACCCTGAACCCACTTCGCCGAGCTGCCGCTGAAAATATTCTAGCTTCTTTCTATAAATACATACACTTACTCACACATGCACACACACGCACATAAACGCATAGAAACACGCCGCTGGCACACAACGGTTGTGCTTCTTCTATCCTTAGCCCGATGCTGCGGAAAAAGTTTTCTTGATTGCTTTCGGTGCTTATTGTCCGATCTTTATAAAATGTATGCTATGAAAGAAGTTTTCTTGATAAACTTCCGTGTTTGTTGTCCGATCTTTATCAAATTTTCAGGTAAATATCGCATTCAAATGCGTGTAAGTTCCAAAGACACGGAAAATGCCACAAAAAATGAGTTAACTTTTAATTTTGTACCGAACGGCAAGGGCTTTCCCAATAGAAACATTTTCCTAATCTGTGTATGTCTAGATATCATGCATACCAAACTTGGTCTATCTGTCATATGACGTCAATAAGTCGTAACCGATTTCTATCGATTTTGTGCAAATAGGCTGAGCCATCGATGATATGTCTTGAGAGGCCAATGTTCAAATCGTAAGGCTCAGCTGTTATAGTTCCTGATTTAGGCACTTTCATACATACGGACGGACAGAGAGGCAGACAATTGCAGTTGCTTCCTTCCGCCTGTTACACTCACGCACACAAAACCATTATACCCTTTTGAGTGAATTTCAATGTGTACAGGGTATGAAAAGCATAAAAAGCTGTAAGCACACTCACACATGCACTTGAGATTTGATAAGGCCAAATTTTGGCCACAATTGAATTGTTGTTGCTTTCTCTTCTCTAATTTTTTGCCAGTGCTTTGCTTTTAATTATTTTATGCAAATGAACCGAGAACAAGAGAACAAGAGAGAGGGAATGAGAGAGTTTGTCATTAGCTGAGTGCGTGAGCAAAAAATAATCCCCATTGTCGTGATCTCTGCATTTCGTACAGAAATAAACCGACAAGTTACTCAAATTTTCAGTTGTTTTTTTACTTTCGTTTAGAGAAGATCTTTTTATGGATTTACTGTTCCTTAGCCGGCGCATTTATTTGGGCGATGGCAGCCACGAGTTGCCTCTCAACGGTGGCATCATTGTGGACACGGGCGGCATCATCAGACGCGGTAAGAGGAAGGGCTCAATCTCGCAACCTTTTGCCCATTATAAGGTGGAAAAAATACTTATTTATATACTCATAGGCAGATGTTTGTGTTAAGTATGACACTTGTGTGGTTTTATTTAATTTTAGGTTTCTCTTGACTGCCAAAGAGCTATAGAGAGTGGGCATGCAGAGAGAGAGAGAGAGAGAGAGAGCTAAAATTGTTTGTGTTTATAGAACCAGCTCGTGAATAGAATTTATTTATTATGCGTTTTGTTCACTTCCAGTGCGAATGCTATCGACTCCAGTCTCGCAAAGAAAGTGACATTCGCCCAAAGCTTAAACTAGTTGCGAATTGTAAAGCATGAAGCAGCGGAACGAAAGCAAAGCAGCAGTTCATTATCTGTGTACTTAAACCCAATGGACATGGAATTGTGTTAGTAAAGGAACTTTACACTTCAGCAATGTATGAAAGGGTGATAATACCAAGCAGAAGTAGGCATCTTGAACTCTATATAGTTTCATATATTTGTAATCAGCATCAATAGTCGAGTCAGTCCTGTCCTCTTGATTGATCTCAAAGATTAAAAGAGATGGAGGCTCCCAATTTTTTAAGTTTTTGACCATATGTTGGGGCTTACAAGAGATGTACAGCAAATTTAGGCTATAGACGCTCGTATAGTATACACAATATTGATATTTTTAAATAAAAGCTTTAGTGAAAATATGCAATTTTGTTTATATAAAAAAGCGCACGATGCAAGACGTATGAACAGGAAAATTTTAAAAATATTGCACTTAGAGAACCATTAGGTTATTGATGCACCCAGAAAACAGCCATAATGCTGTAACATTTAATCCCTATATGACTGACTGGCTGATTGACTGACTGACTGACTGAATGACTGACTGACAAACTGACAGACAGACTGACAGACTGACAACGCGCAGCCCTAACTGTAAGAGCTAGGTAGATAAAATGTTTACTGTCCGGGGTCCAAATTCCAACGAAAGACGTTTGTATAAAACTTTTATGTTTACCATCTGCTCGTTCTAAAAACTCATTTTAAGAGATATTTTATTCAAATTCATTTGAGAGGTGTTTCACGCTTTTCGGAAAATGCAATTCTTCCTTTGCGGAAATGAGGGTTAAAGATTTGGTGGGTAAGGTTTCCCGTTTCAATCATTTCTAAAGATATTTATGAGAAATCATTTGAGACGCGTTTCACACTTTTTGTGGAATCCAAGCTTCCTCGGAGGAAATTGTAAGGCAAAGATTTTTCAGCGAAGTTTAAGCTTGGTCCAATCGCCTTAAAGCTACATAAGAAGTTTATGAATGCTTAAATTTCAGCGATTTTGAAAATTCCACACGCAACTGTGGAAATTTACTGGACAACTGTTACATGCAACTTTAATAACATTTTTTTGATTCGCTTTTCTCGATATGCACAGCTCTTGGATGAAAAATGTGAGATTTAATGAACGAAAGTGGATTCATCGGCTTCAAGATTATCATCACAAGACTAACATGGGCGGAAACCGTTGATTTCAGCGATATTTTCAAATAGATTACATTTTTCACGAGCGGGAATTGGGTGAAACAGGTTATATTTAAAGGGATAATCAGGAATACCGGCTAGTATAATAGATACATATATTATTATTAATAATATAATATAAATATAGTATAATAGATAGCAAATGTTGTCCTTCAGTCCTTCAGTACTTCTATATTGAATTTGTTCAGTTTTTAGTCGATATGTTTTTAAGATAAATAGATAAATATAAAAATAGCTTGGTTACATATATCTGAAACCTATTCAAATAAAATAATAGTCTATTTGATTAAATCACAAATTGATCGCTTATGCACATTCATGCAGAGTTTATGAAACAACAAAAAGAAGAGGCATGCACTCTAGATTGAAAGTAAAGTAAATACAGTGCATCACAAATTGAGGAACTAAAAACAAAAATGTAATACACTGATAAATAAAAAACTGCATAAAGCTTACCTACAGCTTTTATCCTAATGCATTAAAGTGAACTATTTTTTGTGCCAATAGCAAATATTCTTTGCCAAATTCGTCCAATTGCATTGAAAATTCACAATATAAAAACCAATTTCAATTTCTCTGACAAGTAAATATTAATTGTAGCCCTAGACTGATGTCTAATTGAAAATGTTTGCTTTTGCCAAAGTGTAAATATTGCATAAAATGGTGCAAAATGAATTGAATTTCTTAAAGGATTCTGAAAATTCATAAATCAATTCGATGCCAAGCAAAAAGTACCACGAATTTGGCCTTTTGAGAAATTAGATCTACCACGAATCTGTTTTGAAATAAGGTTAGACAAATGTACAAATTCTGCAGATTGAAAAACTAATTGCTTATACTATATATTGAATATTGATTGGGAAATATCGGAATATTGTATATTAGATTAAATTGAAAAACTCTTTAGGCCCTCTCTCTCTCTCTCTCTCGCGCTCTATCTCATGTTCATGCTACATTTGCTTTCAGTCCTACGCACAACGCAAGAGGTCAACACCTATCTATATAATACGGAATCGGAAGCTGTCTATGATTTTGGGGATCTTCTGCTGATGCCGGGTCTAATTGATACGAATGTGCACATCAGCGAGCCAGGCCGCACAGACTGGGAGGGATTTGTGTCGGCGACTAAGGCGGCAGCCGCCGGCGGGTTCACCACCATCATCAATCGGCCCACGTGAGTAACTGCCAGATTGTGGCTAGCGCCTGGCTGCTAGAGCTCCTACAAACCTTTCTACAGCTCAACGCCCGCAGCAATGCCACGCCTACCACAGTGAACGTGCAGGCGCTCAAAGCAAAAACCTCCACGGCACGCGGCAAAATTTACGTGGACGTGGGCTTCTGGGGCGGTCTGGTGCCCGGCAACATCGATCAGCTGGCGCCGCAGCTGGCGGCCGGCGTGGTGGGACTACAGTGCACACTCTGTGGCAGCGCACCGCCTGTCGGCGAGGAGTTCGCAGCGATCAACGAAGCCCAGCTCGTCGAGGCGCTCAACCAGCTAAACAAGGAGCACGAAACGGATGCGGTTATAGCGGTAGCTATATGTGAACAACTACCAGGGCTGCAAGCCCTGATTCGATTTACGGCTCGTAAATCAACTCCCTGCCATTCTGAAACACAGCATTTAGCTCAAGCCTTGCCCTGTGCCAATGTCTATAACAAGCAGAAGGAGCCTTCTCCGTTCCCAGCTGACTAAATCTAGCCATGTCTGTATCTTTGACTGTCTATCAGTTTACACGTATGTTGATTAACATCGATTTCGAAGACCTTAAGATCTAGAATCTAGAAACTTATGATAGTTATAGAAGCCAAAATGGGTATACATATAGGCTATCTTATAGTACACGCAGATTAAATCATCGATAACTAGTTCTGCTTCCGCAAAATCGATAAAAATCGAAGCTGCTATTCTGTTGTTGGGACCATATCTCGGACTTTATTGTATAGTCCGTAGTCTTTCCTTATTTTTGCTTTATCTATGTTTCAACACCCCACAATTCATAAAACCCCCAAAACAGGCAAACAGGCTCTCGTTAAGCAAACGCATATTAAATAAGCCATAACTACCCGTGTTTCCGGAAAATCGATTAAAATCGAAAATGGGATTCTGTTATTCAATCATATTTTAGAGCTTATAATAGCCAGGGACGCCAAATGTTGTATGAAGGCGTATAGTAAACGCAGATTTCGAATAATTAACTTTTTCGATATCTCCAGCCACCACTCCCACGCGGAATAGCCTTGCATTTCGGTATGTACACACATTTGGATGGCACATTCAATCGTTTTTTCCAAAAAGAATGTTTATTAGGGCAGCTTGGTGCTGGATGCAGGGCATCTACCGATTGAAGCATTCTGATTCGTTTCCTAGAAAGATGCGAACATTATTTAAAACCAAATGGGAATTCCGATGCCAAAGAGGCTCAAAACTGGTTTGCAGCCTTGATACAAATATATTTATATATATATATATACATGTATGCATAAATATCTACCAAATGAGAGCAAATGTTTTTGTCCGTACAGTTCCACGCCGAGCTGCCACACAGTGAGGCAGTGGTGCTCCCGGATGACGACTCGTGCAAATGTTATGCGAATTTTCTGCGCACACGACCCGCCAGCATGGAGCTTTCGGCGGTGGAGCTAATCTGCCGTGTGGCCGCACAGCATCCAGAGCAACGCTATCACATTATGAATCTGTGCTGCGCCGAGGCGCTGTCCGTGCTGGCAGCAAGCCGGCGACAAGCGGGCACGCAGCTGACGGCGGAGACGTGTCCACATTATGTGGCACTCAGTGCGGAAGAGGTGCCCGATTGTGGCACCGAGTTCAAGACCTGGCCGCCCATCAGAGAGCGCGCCAATCAGGCGCTGCTGTGGCAGGCGCTGCGGCAACCGGACGCCGCGCTACAGCTGATCGCCAGCGATCACTCCTCGGCCACGCCCGGCGCCCGCTGTCTGACCTATGGACGCGGGCGTGGCAATTTCATGAACGCCTGGCCGGGCATCAGTTCGCTGCAGCTGAGCCTGCCCGTGGTGTGGACGCGCGGCCAGCAGGAGGAGCAACCCCTAAGCGTGGCCGAGGTGCATCGCCTGATGTGCTGGCAGCCGGCGCAGCTCTGCGGCCTGTCCAGTTTCAAGGGGCGCATTGCCGAGGGCTACGATGCCGACTTTTGCATCTGGCAGCCCGACGAGCAGTTCACCGTCACGGCCGAGGATCTGTTCGCTGCCCACAAACCGGCCACGCCCTATGCCGGCCAGAGGCTGAGCGGTGTGGTACATGCCACGGTGGTGCGCGGCCTACATGTCTATCAGCAGTACGAGGGATTCGGACAGCCGCTGGGCAAGGTTCTGCTGCGCAAGAGCAGTCGCAAGCTAGTCAAGTTTGTTCGCCTGTGAAGGGAAACTTTGTTAATTAAGCAAATTGCGATTGGACCAAATATATATCTTCTCTTTTTCCCTTTTTTTTTTTTTGTTGTTGTTGCTTTTGAGTGGGCGCATGGGTGGCAAATTCTGTTGCTGTCGGCGTAATCATCAGACCAAATACGGGCCCCGCTGCGCCTGGTTGCTTGTCCGCCTCCTTCAGCTGCTCGTCGACTCTTTTAAGAGTCGTGCAACAAGTTGTCGCATGGCAACGTTGTGCGAAGACCCACACACGCCTCTGCTCCTATACCCGACAAACACTAGCCCCTATACCCTACCACCTACCCGCTGTGCATGTGTATGACAGCTTAAGTTTGCTTTTGCCAGGCGTCAACTCAATTTTTGCACCAGACTTGTTTACTTAAGCGGATGCCATCTAGAGCGGAAAGCACATGTGTGTGCGCGTGGCATGTGTACTCATGGCCTGGTTTATGCATGGCGACTATGCGTGATAATCAAATCACAAATGAGCCCCAGTCAAAATGTTTTCTTTGCCCAAGACTTGTATAAATATTTTCTCAACACTTGCCTTGTAAGGGATCTGGACAGCGGCTCTAGTTATTGAGATAGTTAACAATTTTTGCAATCAGAGAGAAGCATCGAATCGCCGAAAAAGTGTCTCTTCAGTCCCATATTAAATAATATACATATGCATGTCAACGTTATTTGGCCTGATTTTATTAACAAAAACTTATTCAATATTCTTTCTTAAATTATTATTGAGTTGGTTCTGCTTATTGAGCGACCACTGTAAATACTTACTGCCAACAGGGCTGCAGCTAGGCTTCCCATCTTAAGCTTTAGTCGAAAATACTTTTAAGTGCCCGACTAGGGTATACCCTGAACCTTCTCCTTACAGCACCAAATGCAGCTTGTGCAAGGGGGTTAGCTATAAAATTAAAGATAATTGATCTGTGTTTAGTATACTAGAAGTCACATGTAAAATGTGGAGACTCGAGCTCTTAAGGCAGCGAGATTCGCTTAAAAACCAGATTTGATATTGATTTTTATCGATTTCTTGGAAATCAGACAAGTTATTCGTTATTCTCGATCAGCATCAACGAGAAGCTAAGCCATGCAAACTTTTCTCTCAGTTCTGCATAGCTCCGTCTTTAAGTTGCAAGCAGCACATTGAATCGGAACCGATCGGATCAGACCACTGTATCATATCATAGCAACAGGAATGATTGCTCAAAAATACAGATATTTGGACACAACCTGGCAATAACGAGCTCTACTGTGTTCCTTATGCATAAGCAATATCTTACCAGCATCAGAATAAAGTGACTTTTGTATAGAAAACTTTTCAGTTTTTTAAGATGCCTTCGCAACACCCAGAATAAAATATATATAATATATATTAATACATAGTATACTAGAAAATCTTATGCAATATTCGCGGCATAAACGTGGCCCAAACGTGCTGAGTATAAGCAACGACTTGTAAAAAAAAAAGAAGGTCATTTGACGCCCGATCGAAAAACGTAATTGAAAATTTTACGAATTCTAAGAAGTGCACAATGGCAATAACATAATATCTACGCTAGGCAACAGCATAAACAGCGCATTTTATAAAATTGAGAGTTTTGTTTGACCAAAGAGTTGATTTTTATTATGTTAACCAAATCCCCTCCCTGCCGATCCCCGCTGCAGAATGCACAGTCAGGGGGCTTATGCACTAGCTTTGATTTCTTTGTGCAAGTATCTGACTGTGGGCCGCCGCCTGCTGGCTTTTTCCATGTGTATATGTGTACATATAACTGTCACACGCACACACACACACACACACACACAGCTGGAGCCCTACACTGAACTGTGCTGCACACAATTTTTATTTAATAAATACCACACTTCCTGCACGTAACACACACACACACACACATACAAACGCACATACACAGAAGTTGATTATTCGGCAGTTGTTGACACTCTGTTACCCTTGAATAGAGGAGGCCATGGAAAACTTCTTGATAAATCGAACCAAAAGATAACCAAATTTATAGATCTACAATATATATAGACCTGAGGCTGCGCTCAGCTTTTATTTGATTACAATATTATTCACTTAAATGCCTTTTATTGTTATTGTCAATTAAAAGTAATGTAAATAAAAGAAATCTATACTTTTAACCAATTACTTATAAGTGTCCTCACAGATTTAATGTAAATAAGCTCTTTTAGTAAAAAATCAAAGCTAGATAAAGAGTATAATCGCAGTCGTACATTGCCGTTGAGCTGCTGTTCTGGTTACCCTGTGCCGCCGGGTCTGGTGCTGATTCCACTCCGGGTTAGCAGGTTTGTTTGGCAGGTAGGCGGCCCACGTCAGGCCATCATGGATGTCCATGCCATGTCAACCTGACAAATGCGTGGGCGCTGGGCAGCGGGTGGTTGGGTCTTGGGACCTGGGACTTGACGCTGGTGCCAGCTTTCGGTTATAAATGTATTACGTACAGTGCTTTACGCGCATTTCTTATTTAATAAATGCCCGAAGCAGTTCACTTTCAAATCACATTACTGCCGCAGCTGAGCAGTAAATGGTGGATGGACGAAATTGAGGGGGGGGGGGGGGGGGGGGGGGGGGGGTCGGTTCGTTGGTAGTACGAAACTAGGACTCGGCTTGGCGGACGTTAGTGCTGCCGCTGGCACTGTCAGCTGCTCACGCCACGTTATGCATAACACGCAACACACGGCGTATGCGTAATGTGTGCAACGTGTATGAAGTATACGCCGCATGAGCCATGCATATACGCGTCTCCGGCAAATGCTCAATGTATCTTTGTCAACTGAAGCAGCAGTCAGCTTGGTTACATAAAGGTGAGCGTAACAGGGCGTGTATGCGATACCTGTGATTGTTATATTACGCATACGCCAAGTTGTCGTATTGGAAACTTAGCTTCGTGGTTTGCGGTCGGCAGGGCACTTTTTGTTCACCAACCCTTGCACAGGGTATTACACCTTTGTCATGATACGAGTAACGCTTATAGTAGATGGCCACACCATAAAGTTTTTTGCTGCTGACAGCACATGTGTTGCTGTCGGACGGATTTGAACTTTATATCAAATAAATGCCAACGGAATGGTCGGTCAAATATTAAATGCATGCCTGCAAAACTTTTCTGTGTTTCATGATATTGACATGTACACTTGCCTCTCCACATCGACCAACTTTATTAGAAAAATATAACTCTATAAGACCAATCGATTGGAAATAAAGTGTTTATATAAATAACCCTCTTAGCCGTAAGGGCATTTACTCTTCCTGTTTGCATTGCAATTCGCTTCAAAGCTGTGAGTCGGCACTGCGGTTGACGCGGGACAAATTTTTTGCCAACTAATCAACCGTTAATTGACAGCCTGAACGTATGCAACAGATTTCTGTTTGACAGCCAGCTGCCATTTCGCACGCATTTGCGAGCGAGTTAGGCGCGCTTAGTGTCTGTGTGTGCAAGCAAGTCGGCTAGCTACGTCACCGTTGCGTCGCGTCTCTGCTGCTCCGCACGTCATAACGAGAACAACAATAACGAACGGTACGCAGCGCTGGCAGCGATAACGGCACGGCCAAACATAAAAGCAGCACAAAACGTCGCCGCGTTCTCAGTTGTGGTTGTGGCTCTCTTTCTTTTAGCATGTATGTGCTCGCCTCTGTGTGCCTCTGTGTGCCTCTGTGTGCCTCTGTGTCCAAGTGTAAATGACCAACACTAGTTAGCACATGTGCTTGTATGTAGAACTTGACTTTTGCGTTGGGCATTTAAATATATTTGAAACATGTGTCGTGTTGCTTTGCCTGGCGTGAGCGAGAGCGGAAGACAGAAAGCAAAAGATTGAGTAAGGTGAGTGTTAATGTTGGAAACGCCGGCATCGGCATCGACATCGACATCGACGTCAGCGTCAGCGTCAGACACCGTGACTTTGACGTGGCGACGATAACGTTTAACGCTCTTGTTTAGCTAATATTGTTTGTGTTGCTTTAATTGTTGCTGCCGGTGCACTACAAGAAGCTGCACAGCACACAGCAAAGCACAATAATTACGAAACAGCCGAGGGACCACACAAACACATGCATCTTTGCATACAAAATACATGAGCGCGTCTGCATGTGTATACATATATCAGTGAAAACATACACATACACACACATAAATACGTATCGGTAGATTATCGGTCAGATTATTCTAAGCACGACTCAAATACATTACCCTGCAACAAATTGAGGCACTGTCCAACATCTGATACATATCATGTGCATACCTACATACATATTTATGTTTGTCATCGGCATGAACATAAAATTTCTGGCATTTAATTTGCCTATCAATTATATAATATATATATGTATTTATGTACATACTTATGCACATAAAAACATACATATAGCATGGGCGACACGCCATGAAAATCTGTTGCCGAGTACGTGACTCACCCGCATGCAGAATTACATATTACCTGCTGCATAGGGTATCTGCTGTGCCGTGCCCATCTCTCGCATTGAGTTCTTCATTTATTGCTTTGTATGCTATCCGTAAACGTTTTACTTACTATACATAGAGCCACTGTACGTACTATTGTTACCTGCTGTGTCTGCTATTCAAATGTGTGTACATTGAAATATTAAGTTAGGAAAACCCCGAAAAATTGGTTTAATTATATTTAATTACACTTTGAACGATTTTTTTTGTGGACGCACACTTAGACCAGTGTATTTTTTTGGATTATCCGTTAGCTGCTCAGAAACTGCACGAGTTAGAGACTTTTAATTGAACGTAAGTCCTCCTAGGGCACGAAAAAATATAGTTTATTTTAAATGATAGATGAGTCACTTTGTCCGTGCGATAACTCAGCCCAATTTCATGTTTTTCTGCCAAACCTTGGAGTTAATAAGACCTGGCGATATCAAATTTGGGATATAGGAAATCTCAGAGTTAGAACACGACTAGAATATTTACCTGATTATATACTTTCCCTTGTTACACATGGTT